AAAGCGTGAGATTTGGAGTTTTAACAGTTTTAACAGTATTTTAACATCAATAAGTAAACTTTACCAACTCATTAAAAAGGACAATTGTGAAAAAAATTGTGAGACATTTGGATACCTTTAAGCTTAGTCTTGCCAGATCCTTAACTGACCTGGACACAAAGATATTAAGGATTATAAAATAAATGAAGGATAAATATATAAATAAATAAAAATTGGAAACAAATGAATATCTACCTTTTTTCAATCACTCTTTTCTAAATTTATCACCTCCATCTACTCCCAACTAGCCCACACTAACTTATTCATAGGTTAAACTCATYGGCACTGATGAATTGGAGSGAGGTGCCTGAAAGCTGTGTCAGGTTGCGCTACTACTCACAGCRGAGGTAACCATGGCCGCGCAACCCGTTCCACCTCCASGCACCAGTCACACTGACCGARTCAGTGGAGAATGATACTTACTTGATAAAGCCAACCAATGATGGGTGGGCAGGAGGAATAAAAGGCAGCAATCAAGCGCAACGTTTTGATCCGCRACGATCAACAAACGTAGCATGCCATGGCTATGAAGCCCCCAGCGTGCCTTGACTTTAACTTTGCCTACATTTCCTTTAGCCTCATGTATAATGGATATATTAATTGTACGATAAAGAAAATYAATTCCTGACTCACTTTGTTTGTGTTGCAGAAAATAGTAATGTCTGCCTCTCTGTCGGTAGATTCTCAATGATTGCATTTAATGTYGAGGCAAACCCCATGTCAAGTATTCTATCTGCTTCGTCCAACACTAAAACCAATAAATGAATGTCACCTTAATAACTGCTGGTGGGTAATGTAAGAAACTAAAAACTCAAAGTAAGGTGCATCATGGGATAGGACAGGGTGTAATGATTGTTGATAGGTAATGCATTACACTTACCAAGTACTGTACTTAAAGAGAAGCACACTCAAAGTGAGGCGTATCATGGAATAGGACAGGGTGTAATGATATGTTGATGGGTGATGCATAATATACTCACCAAGTACTTCGAGAGAAGCAACTCAAAGTGAGGTGCATCATAAGATAGGACAGGGACATCTAATGATATGCTGATGGGAAATGTAATATACTCACCAAGTACTTGAAGAGAGGCGCACTCAAAATTAGGTGTTTCGTCCATGTGCTGAAGTAGTCTCCCAGGAGTACACACAACAATATTTGTCTTACTGATTCTACTTTGTTCCTCTTTAAGATTCTACTCATGACATAAAATAGAAATAAAAYAAAATTTACACAACAGTAGAGTGCATACCATATATCCATCAAAAACTTAGTAACAAATTGCACAAATTTGCACAAATTAGTAAGYTCAGTACACCTCATTAGGACGTATGTAGACCTACAAAGTTTTGCACTAATTTGTACRATWTYWTTGATTCAACTTTTTCACAGAATGATATACATGTACGTTATGCACTTTATACTGTTATTCACAATTATGACTCAACCTTTCAATAGTAGCTTTGCAGCTTTCACGTGTTGATTAATTCAATGAGAGCAAATGAATGAGCATTTTGCTTCCCTTGTCTGCTGTAAGGAAATGTTACGATTAGTTTACCTTTCCTCCAATGACCAATCCAGCAGATAAATCATGTCTGCTTCCAACTTTGACAATAACTTCAAATGTTTGGTAAGCCTGAAGTAACAAAATAAGGATCCTKCATGTAAAGCTTTGACTCGCTGTAATTGTGATTAACTAACATAATATTGCTATTTATTTACCATTTTCGAGTTCTAAATTACTGCTGTGTTCCTTGACTTACCTCTTGACTTGTCACATTATTATCATTATTATTATCATTGTCATTATTTATTATATTTATATAAAGTATCTGCTATTTTTAACCCTGCTATGCATTAATGAAGTGTTAAAGTGTGATTTGTGATGTTACATGAATAATATGAAACAGACATCAGTTGATTACAAAACAAAAAGCTACAGTAAAACAAGCCTTACCAATTCTCTTGTTGGGGATATGATCAGTGCTCCCATTCCATCAATGGATGACCACTTTTGCCTCCACAGTGTTTCAATGACCTTTAACATGCAAAACAAGATGTAACAGCCCATTTCCAAGTGCATCGTAGCAAGACTAGTAAATAAACTGCTCTATTACTTACAGGTATCAGGAATGCAAGAGTTTTTCCAGATCCTGTCTTGGCAGCTCCCAGTACATCACACCCTCTGAGAGCTGCTGCAATCCCTTGTTTCTGGATATCAGTTGGACTAGAATGACCAGCTTTAGTAAGACCTACAATCAAAGAAAATAATATTAGGAAGCACAGTTGGCATGTTGGTGAGAGCTATTGCTCGCCTCTCCCCTCTACTCCTCAAACCAATATGACCCGGACCCAGACTTGATGTCGTATGTGAGTAGAGTTCCTAGTTGGTTCTTTCCCAACACAAACCTTTGGCAAGCCCCAGGAGGGTGGGGTAGGGATTGGCTTAGGTGTGTGTGCATGAATGAGCATCTATGATAGTATGATACCAAACAATCATGAGCAACATATACAGACTCTGTACAGCTTTTTTTCAATAGGAGCGGGCTGTACAGGCCTGTTGCTAAGACCTTGATAGGGGAGGTTCGCTTTTCTACCAATCTTAGTTTTTTTGTCTTTATCTTTCAAATAGCGTTTCTAACCAATCTTAGTCATGCCATTTTTTGAAAAACTAAAATAGCACTAAACATTATTTCGTACTCCTACAAAGGTGGAGGGGGGTTGGTTCAAACTATCAAATCACCCTTAGCAATGGGCCTGTTACATACACAAAGCCTAAATATCCACCATAAAGTAGACAAAAGTACTATCCAGTGAAAAGTGATGCATAGGATAACTAGTATGTGAGCTTCGTGCAACTGAATCATGCCACCCAAAGAAATAGACCAGTTTTGAATTCCAAATTACCGCTGTGTTCCTTGATTACAGACTCATTTGCACAGGGTTAGCCTCATATCAGTGTTTAAATATTCACAAATGTCAATGGTAAAGCAAAGAATACACAACCTCAACAATACAAACATTTTGAACTCGACGGACCTTGACTGGAACACATGAATATTCTGCACAAACTCGAGGCTAACCCTGTGCAAATGAGTCTGTAATCAAGGAACACTGCGGTAATTTGGAATTCGAAAGGGGTCTATTAATCTATCAAATAAGGATTTGTCTGGTTGATAGTGCTTATTCAAACTTTGTACAAGCAGCTCCAGGTGAACCTACGAATATTACTGATGCTTGTGCTCAAACATACTGAACCATAGT